ACACGTTATGAACTATTAAAGAGTAATACGTAAAATGATTGAAAAGATGTCTACGTCCTTTTAATTTATTGATCATTCTCTCTTTTTTAACTTCTTGTCTTCTGAAGTCATGGAGTAAATAGATTACATGATATTACAACTTACATATAGCTTGATTAAAACGTTTGCATTGAATTACGATCGAGCAAGGGTGTGTTTGAACGTGCACGTGATACATTTCGTTTTTGTCTTGCGCTACACGTGCTAAACAGCTGCTTCTTATGAATGGCTAATAAGATCATGCATTTATCCCCCTCACACCTTACCATGCATTATGCAGCAATCCCAATGTCACACACGATTGCATAGACTGGCTGTGTGTTTGGTAGTATATCCAGCTCAAGTTGTTGCTTTCATATTTATGGCCGTATCTACTTTTAAAACTCACTTAAACATGAGGGGGAAGATTTTTACTGCCTTTGCGTTGGTGGTGTCTTTGTTTTGTTTGGGTAAGTCGGTAATTTCCATGGAATTTGAGAAGTAGCCTATTGTGCTTTATTGTTTTATTCTAACAAATGTTTTGAATGCATGTTTTGCTGACCGTTTATAGCCATACTACTACATTTGAAGTAGAATCATTCCAATGTGATTAAGTCCCTTTGTAGCTGCAATATGAGTGATTAATGGCATTTGGAAATACCGTTAACGACATGAAATGCAACCACACCATACACACCTGTTTGTGCCAGAGAGAATAATGCACTTGAATTTCTCTTTGCTTGCAGGACAAACACTTGAGTGCTTTCGGTGTGAGCTTGGATTCTGGGATGTGTGTTACACTACCAAGACAAACTGCAGTGATAATGAATTGTGTTCTGTGGGAACTGGTAAAGCAGGTAAAAGTGATTTGGGGTATCTTTTTTTTTAAATTAATATATCTCAACCCATCTACCTTTGTTACGCCACAATCCTTTCCCTTTGGTTTGTCAGCTTCTGTCCTGGATCTAAAGGTGATGGGTTGTCTTCCCATGGAGGAGTGCAACAAGACAACAGTTGTAGCGTTCCTTGCCAATAAGACCTTATACACCTTGAAGACCACCTGTTGTGAGGAAGACTTTTGCAACGCTGGCCCTTCCATTCAGTTGTCCCTTGTTCCTCTTTTGCTTCCCATACTTCTCATTGCTGAGATGATGGGTGTGTTTTGATGATTTCTAGATTCTAACTGTTATATAAGGGATTGAAGGTTCTTCATATGTACACCGTTCACGTCCTTTTACAGTTGTTGAATGATCTAAAGCATCTGCCTTCTATAGCAGAGCACATTTTGGATGCTCTTTTCTAGCCAGTTGATTTTGTTCATCCAAATGAGTAAAGCTGATTGTTGACGTTCTAATATTTTCTTAACACAAACATGTTTTACTGTTCAATAAATGCAAATTTAGTCAAACATTCGTGGTTTCCTGTCTTGTGCACGGTCACTATCGCATGCAATAGAGGGCGCTGTTTGACTAAAATGCTAGGCTGCTTTACTGCGCATGCGTCAACCTGTCTTTACAGGTTTCTGGGGCACGTGCTTTCCAAGTCCAACGTGATTGGACCGTTTGCAACCTCGCGTTTAAAAAAAAAAAAAAAAAAAAAAA